TGGTGAATGTTCTCAAAGACTTTCTTGCCTTGCCCTAATTTCAACAGACTGCCATGACACAATGCCCACAATCAAAGAGGAAGATTGGAGGGGAAGAATTAAAAACCACCACATACAAACTCACCCTGAATTCTTATTTGTTCTTGCCCCCTCTGTATTACAGCCTCCCACTCCTAGCCAAAAAATATCATTTTGCTGAACACTAGAGTATATACCTCTCTACAGGAATCAGAAAATAACACCTTCTAGTCAAACTCTGGCTCAACCAAGACACTTATTAAAAGCATTTGTTAACAACATCAACTGGAGATGGAAAGTCCTTTCTCACATTGTAGTGTCCTGCTCCTCTCCCCCTACCCCACAATCACTCTGCCCTAGGGATCACCATGCTGTGTTCTAGCTGTTGATTTCTTTTTTGCCCACTGGATTCCAAGCTCCTTAAAGAAACTGTACCTTCTTCACCTCATGATCCCAAGGAAACCCCACAGGTGCTAGAACAAATCAGATACTCAGCAAACGTTTGATGAATTAATGAATTCATTGATTACTTTATTTTTGAACAAATAGAACTACAGACTGATGCACTTTTGAAAAAGCCTTCCCACTGTCACACTTGATCCTAACAATACCTAAGAGAAGTCCTCAGTGGGAGGGGCCACAATGATCCTTACCTACAAATGAGGATGTAGAGATTGAGAATCAAGTGACTTGGCTAATACCATGCAAGGAGCAAAGAAAGAATTTCATGAGTGTCCGGAACTAAACGATTTAAACTAACCCTCATTAGAATTTATATCTCAAGTAGGGTCCTGCCACTTTAGATCAGAAGCGTGTTTGGCACATTATGAATATTAAACTAACTTTTTGGGGGCACTTCATTCATAACAGTCTTATCACTGGTCCATACTCATCCCTCTGTCTATATATTTAATTCTTTTAAATTATGTAAATACTGGTTTAACCTGTGCTATGGGTTAAATATATTTACTGTATAGACTTTAGTAGGTGTAATTATGAACTATACTCCACTATAACTACTGTTTATATTCCAAACTGTATTATGATATAACTGTATTCTATAAATTATAATATTTTCCTAACATAAAAGGAAAGTCCAAGAAGGGTTCATTTTCCAGACACCAATTCAACACACTCATGTGATACTGACTGCAGTCAGTGTTTTACATTCAGGTATTTCATGAATGTGGGCAGCAGTTATATTGATATATATTCAGAATGTCAAATAAGAATGTTAATAAGTGAGAAACAGGCATGGTAGGGCACACTAGTAGTCCTAGTATTCATGAGGCAGAGGCAGGGGGATTGAGAGTTCAATCCCAGCATGAGCTATGTGGTGACACCATGTCTTGAGAAAAAAAAAAAAAGCTAAGTGTGTGTTGGGGAGAAATAGCAATCACGCCATATGGGCTTTAAAAATATATTTACATCCAACTGATTTCAACAAACATTCTAAGAATAAGTACTGGAGAAATGACCACTTTTTCAATAAAAGGAAAATTGGATATCCTCATGCAGAAACATCAGCTCTAAATGCACTAAAGACTTAAAAAGCAAGAACCTGAAACTATAAAACTACTAGAAGAAAGCAGGGAAAATACTACAGGATATTGGAATGGGCAAGGATTTTCTAGAGAAGACCCCAAAAGCACAGGAAACCAAAACAAAAATAGACAATGGCTTTACATAAAACTAAAAAGCTTCTTCACAGCAAAAGAAACAATCAACAGAGTGTGGACAAGAGTAAATGGACAAGCTGTAGAATGGGAGAAACTTTTCAAACTATGCATCTGACAAGACGTTAATATCCAGAACAAATGAGGAACCCAAAAAAACTCAATGGCAAACAAACAAATAACCCAATGTTTTTAAATGAGCAATAGACCCAAATGGACATTTTTTAAAAGAAGACATATAAAATGGTCAAGAGATATTACGTGAAAAACTGTTCATCACAACTAATCATCAGGGAAATGCAAACCAAAATTACAATGAGATAGCACTTCAATAAAAATGGCTCTTATCAAAAAGACAAAAGAGACCCAGGCACCAGTGGCTCACACATATTATCCTCGCTACTTGGAAGGCTGAGATTGGAGAGGCTGAGATAGAGGTTTGAGGCTAGATGGGTCAAAAAAGTTCACGAGATCACATCTCAATGGAAAAAAAAGCTGGGCGTGGTGATGTGTGCCTGTCATCCTAGCTCTGGTGGGAGGCCTACAAGAGGAGCATTAAAGTTCAAGCCAGGCTAAGCACAAAAAAAGTAAGACCCTATTTCCAAAATAAGCAAGAAAAAAGGGCTAGAGGTATGGCTCAAGCAGTAGAGTACTTGAAGTAAAGACTGAATTCAAACCTTAGTCCACTCCCTGCTCCCCACCACCCCCCCAAAAAAAACCCACAAAAGATAACAAGTTCTGGTGAGGAAATAGAGAAAAGAGAATCCTTGTACACTGTCACTGGGAATGTAAATTAGTACCACCATTATGGAAAACAGCATGGATATTCCTCAAAAAATTAAAAACAGAACTACCATATGATCCAGCAATTTCACTCCTGTGTATATATCCAAAGGAAACGAAGTCTATGACAAAGAGTCATCTACACTCCTATGCTCATTGCAGTACTATTCACAGCAGCCGAGAGATGAAAACAACCCAAGTATTCGTCAGCTGATGAGTGGATCAAGAAAATGAGGTACGAATACACAATGGAGTAGTATTCATGCATAAAAATGAATGAAATCCTGTCACTTGCAACAGCATGGATGATAATAGAGATCATTATGTTAAGTCATATAAGCCAGGCACAGAAAAACACATATCATGTAATCTTACTCATCTGTGGACTATAAAAAAAGTTTATCTCATAGAAGTTAAGACTAGAATCGTGGTTACCAGAGGATGGTAAAGCGGGGGCTTGGGGCGTGGAGGAAGGACAGATGGAAAAAAGACAACCAATGGGTTGTAAGCTATAGTGAGATAGGCTTAAGAAGTCCTTGGGTGCAAGACTGTTACTCCAGAGGCACCTGCACACCCATGTTTATTGCGGCACTATTCACAATAGCCAAGTTATGGAAACAGCCAAGATGCCCCAGCACTGACGAATGGATTAAGAAAATGTGGTATCTATACACAATGGAATTTTATGCAGCCATGAAGAAGAACGAAATGTTATCATTCGCTGGTAAATGGATGGAATTGGAGAACATCATTCTGAGTGAGGTTAGCCTGGCCCAAAAGACCAAAAATCGTATGTTCTCCCTCATATGTGGACATTAGATCAAGGGCAAACACAACAAGGGGATTGGACTATGAGCACGTGATAAAAGCGAGAGCACACAACGGAGGGGTGAGGATAGGTAAGACACCTAAAAAACTAGCTAGCATTTGTTGCCCTTAACGCAGAGAAACTAAAGCAGATACCTTAAAGCAACTGAGGCCAATAGGAAAAGGGGACCAGGAACTAGAGAAAAGGTTAGATCAAAAAGAATTAACCTAGAAGGTAACACCCACGCACAGGAAATCAATGTGAGTCAATGCCCTGTATAGCTATCCTTATCTCAACCAGCAAAAACCCCTTGTTCCTTCCTATTATTGCTTATACTCTCTCTACAACAAAATAAGAAATAAGGGCAAAATAGTTTCTGCTTGAGTATTGAGGGGGGGGAGAGGGAGGGGGCGGAGTGGGTGGTAAGGGAGGGGGTGGGGGCAGGGGGGAGAAATGAACCAAGCCTTGTATGCACATATGAATAATAAAAGAAAAATGAAAAAAAAAATAATAAAGATTAGAAACAGTTCTGAAGATGAAAAAAAAAAAGAAGTCCTTGGGTGCTATTTCACAATAGGGTGGCCATAGACAGTAATAATATACTGCACTTTTTTTTTTTTCAAAAAGCTAGAAGAAACGACCTTGAATGTTTTACCATAAATAAATAATAAATATTTAAGTAGATTTGCCTGCCCTGATTTAAATATTACATAATGTACATATGTAATAAAATATCATATGGTACCCTTAAACATATATGATTTTTATGTTTTTAATAAGTTAAAAAATTTTTTTTTAAACTCTCCCTTTCCTCCACCCTACCATTCTCTTCCAAAAAACAGAAAAAGAACATGGGATCATCCATCTCTTCTGCTAAGCAAGGTTTATCATCAAGACAGGGTGGATGAATTTCAGAGCAGCCCTTCCATATTTGATTTTGTCACTTACACTGCTTCAAGAAGGAGAAAAGCTTTTCATTCCACAGTTACAGATATCATCAACCAAGAGCTTGACTACTGAAGACTGTTTTATTTACTTAAGAATTCAGCCTGCACTCTTGTGTGGGGTTGTCTTGGTTAAAATGTTAACACTGGCTAATATATCCAACCCACTGCTGAAAGTCCCATCTTTGGCTTGGGAGCAGGGGAAGAACCACCAATAGGAGGACATGTGGTGGCTGAAATGCAAAGTGAGGTCATCTTCTATCAGAAAAAAATGGCACTCCAAGAAAGCCAGCTTGACTTAGGAAAGGAAGTTCAATGAAGTCAAACTTAGATTCCACGATATCTCTAAGGATCAGTGCATTTGTGGATAACCATCAACCTGGCAAAAACAATAACGCAGAGCAGGAGGTGTAGCTGTGGTAGAATGCAAGACCCTGGGTTTGCTGGGATGGATCCCTAGCACTGCAGAAAATCAATCAATCAATCATACGCATAAGATACTTTTTTATTTCACAGCTGAAAAGCCAGGAAATAGAGCTTCAAATAATTAGGGAAGTTTTTATTTTAATCTTGAACACATTTGACTTCATACATAGGAGCTATGTTCCTAGAAGTTTAGAAATGGAGCTGTGGCTTAGACATCTAAGGATTGGTCAATGACCAGTATTGAAAGTTATCAAGTCAGTTTTTCATATAGCTGTAAGAATCCTGAGAATTAAAAAAGTACAAGCATGCAACTGAAATTATGCTGAGTGAAAAAGCTGACACCACACTCCAGTCCAGAGTCGCTCTGGGCTCCTTCGCTGGACCATTTGCCACAGGAAGGCTGAGAGGATGTGCGGGAGCCAGGTGCTGGAGGCCTGCCCGGGAGATTGCTTTCCTGTAGCAAGAAGAAAAAAAAAAACACAAAGAAAAACCACATCAGAATGTAATACAGAGCTCAAATTCCCTGCAAATGCAGAAACAATGTATGAATTGGGCTTCCATCTCTGAAACCCTTTACGATTGTGTTGGAACGCATCTCACTAAAGACAGAGGGAACAAGGTCCAAAAGAACAGGGAGCTTGGCTTGAGAGACCACTGTGAGGAGACAGTGCTTCCGAACCAGAAGCATAAAGTGTCAGCCCTGTTCAGGGAAGAAGGCAGGAATGGTGGCTCTCTAGTTACAAGAAAAAGACCGACGGTCTGAGCAGCTGAAATACTTGGAGAATGTTTGAGTTCAATGTTGCCAGAGACTAAAAGCAAGAACAAGCAGACTCATGAGGCCTTCTGTTGAAGCTGGTTACAGCTGCAAAGTCACTCTCAGTCCTCTTCTCTCAAGAGCATCCTTTTCACCCTTAAAGAGGACCACCCAGCTGCAGGTTCTCAATGGGAAAAAAGACTTGAATTTGGATCTGTTTATGAAATCACACATGCTAAAAGCAACATCTTACAAGACCCAGTAAGGAAAAGAAAAGTATTATGTATATGCATTAGATTCTAAGTTATTGAATGGAACATAACAGAATTCAGGTCACAAAGGAGAGAATGAATCAGGAAGAGGCTGAGAAAGCTTCAACCTTGGTCTGCAAAGATAAGAAATATGAGAAATTGCTTCAGCAAAGCAATTATGACCATTGCTAAACAAAGGGAGTACAGGTGGGCATAATCACAGGAAGAATAAGAAGCAAGAAAATGGAAGAAAACAGATATGCAGGAGATCTGTGGTGTTGTCCAGGATAACAGAAGTTCAATTTTTCATAGCCATCAAAAATGTCACGTGTTTAGATATAGCTAAGTCTGCGGATTAATAGTAGCTTCCTGGAAGGGAGAGGGGCTTTCCCATGGACAGTGCTATCCAAGTGTGCTCTAGGAACACCTGATTAGAATCAGGTGGATCTTGGGAGGCTGCTGCCCCTGCCTCTTAATCAGATTGAGGTGAGGCCCAGGATTTTGCATTCACACAGGCCCCAAAGTGTTTCCTGCTGTGTGTTAAGGTATGCCCCAAAGGGCAAGTCCTTTGGACAGGTGGGGGAACAGAACTTACCAAGGACCCATCAAAAGTGAGCTCTGGAGGAAGACAGCTGCAATTTCACGCTGTGCTCTTCCTCCAGCTGGCTCTCTGCACTGGTCTCACATGACAGGAACATTGCAATAAGAAACAGCCATCTCTGCTAAACCTGCAGACACCCTGGAACCCAGAACCTAGGCTCCTTCACCTGCCCACTACACAGAGCTACAAGGCTACAGACAGCAGAAGAAGAGGAGGAAAGCAGTGACCACTGGATCTATGATGAATGTCATCATGATGGAGCCTCTGAAGGAAAAGGCACTAGCCCCAGAAAGGAAAGGGGTAAGAACAGAATGTAAAAGCTTGTTGGACCCTAAAAGACAGGTGATCTCTCTCTGCATAATCATTGACTTCCACACACTTCATCCAGAAATGAAATTTCTGAAGTTGAACAAGATGAACAGTAGCCTCCAAACTCGAGGAAAGGCTGAGTAGAATCCAATAAAGAATGCACAACCGTGCAACTGTTAATCACTTACCAAGTTTATCATTCATCAGGAGCTCAGCAAGTGACCAGCCCTCTGTTTTGTTTTGTTTTGTTTTGGTGTTTTATATTCCTACCCAGGAAGTTCCAGCAGTATTGGATAAGTCTTCAATAGTTGGAATATATCAAGTGTGCAATAGCCTAGTTTCAAAAGCTCCCACAGGGCAGCAGGCAATGTACTTGCTTTATATAATCCCCCAGAGAATTTTTACAAGTATGGAGGACTTTAATGAAGACAGTCCAATGACACAGTGTTCCCTTTCCTCACTTTCTCCAAGGCAAATAATTAGCAACATCAATTTTGGCCCCTCACACCAAAGTATATTCCATATCACTGAGCAGTGAGAAAGGAACATGAGAAGATTCTTACATGGTGATTCTTTGCCCACAAAGATTTTCCTCCACCTGAGTTGAAAGTACTTCACTTTTTTCATTAGGATTTTTGGCTCTGCAGGGTCTGGTGACTGAGCAGCTTTCATCAAAGAAAAGCAGATCACTGTGGAGTCAGAAACTATAGGTTCCACCTTCGGTCCCCAAACAGTCTTCACAACCCAGATTTAAATGTTAATGAAAACAAAATGCCATAGTTTTGATCCCCTAGAACACACGCACACGCACACACACCAGTCTTCAAACACACAAGCCTTAGAATGACGGAAGAACTCCTAAATTTCAAGTTAATGAGAAAACACAAATCTTTCATCTTTTCATGAACTTTCCCAAACAGTTGTGATCATAAGAAAGAGGAAGAAAGAAGGTAGGAGGAAGAAGCAAGAGAGAAGAAAGACTGAGGAAGGAGCAGGAAAAGAAAAGAAAAACAGGAAAAAGGGAAGAAGTGAAATTATAACTGTCAGGGACAGTAGAAACCATAGGATAAATGAGTTTAGCTCATCAGAACTTGTAGACTTGACGCACATAACCTTACTGTTTTCCCTACTAGGACTGCCAGGAGGGGTTAAATGCTCAAATAATCAAGTAAGGATGCAAGGGAATGTGTGTGCCATAAAAGATCAATATGGCTATAAACCTTTATTCACTCAATGAAATTACAGTCAAATCTTTTTAGCCTCTGAATAGAAGCATTAAGTAAAGTCTCTGGTTGTTCATTTATTCCTCATTGTGGATGCAAATTTAAGATCAATATTATAACAACATTAATAGAAGAAAATTGTGTATCAACTGCACATATAAATATTAATTAGGAGGAAAAATAGTAATCAAAGTGGCTACCAGTCTGTAAGTGGGTCTCATAAAAGGACAATGGGAAGAGAATGGGAAAAAAATATTTAGGTGCTACCAGGGCACGGGAAGTAGCTTCTGATGACAGATTTCCATTCTTCTAAATAACCATGGGGGGAAATCTTTTCTTCCAATAATTTATACATAAATACACATTTTCTTCCAAAATAAGAAAGTAATTTCATTATATCTCAGGCCTCAAATAAAATTAGTGTATGTTATTTTTCTATTTAAATTTATCTTGGTTGTAGAAGATGACATTTCAGTCTGGCAGAACTTGATGTGCAGTTGGAGGGGAGGCAGTGGTTTTATGCTTCAATTGACTCTAATAAAAAAGTCAATGAAATTTCAACTTCTCATTCTTGTCTTCTGCTTAGAATCTTCTCAACCCCGCAGTCAGCAAAGCTGTGAAATGCCAACAATTCTTTCTATTAATTTCACAACACTTTGTAGGGAATGACTATAATCACAGAATCATCTCTGAAAAGAACTGTGATATAAACTGTGAAATAGATATGAAAAGAAAATATCCTATAATGCAGTTTCAAGAGTATAAAGTCACAGTTAGTGTCAATTACCTGACATGAAAGACCTCTAACATACTTAAAGTACAAAAGCCACCACGCATTTTCAATAGCGTTCTATTATTTCCCTCACTCTATTCAATAAGACTATAAACTCCTAAAGGACAGGGCTCAATTCATCTACTAATTTTATTATGTTCTAGCCCAGGGGTAGACACAGTGGTATATTCAATAAATGCTTTCTGAGTTAATGAATGAACTTGACTGAAAAGCTAAGCAAAACAGCTTGCTGATTATATCAAGACTTGAGAAATCTGATTAGGATGCTTTGAATTATGCCCCAGGCCTTACATTTCAGTGATAGTCTTTCCTGAGAGGGTCAGAAATCCTTCAAAGCAGCTCTTTAAAAATAAATGCAAATGAGGTAGAATCCAGTGTTAAGAAGCCTAGAAAACACCAAATGGCTTTGTGTGATCAACATTAAAATAGAATCCCATTGTTACCACACTTGTAAAAGATATATGATAGCATTAATAGTTTTAAAATGTATCACCCCAAGAATATGCCACATGTATACTCTTTACAAAGAATCTTTAAAAACGCACAGGAAAACATGTAAATAAGGTTATTTAGGCAGGACACCCTCTAGTGATCCATTTTATAAATTGCTCTCAATTCCCTCTGGTTCCACTCTGACTCTAACTTTCTATGGTTTCTGTATTCAACCCGTTCCCGTCCTGCCATTGCCCTCTCCAATGATCCTACACCTGAGAACAGAAAGGATTCTGCTTCCTATGTAGAAAAGCACTGGAGAATCAGGAGGACTCAAAGCCAGGACTCCTCCAAAAGACTGACAGGTTAGATACTGACAAACTCCTCTCATTGTTCTAGAAAAGGCACTGGCTGTCTAAAAAGTCATTTGTGTACCTTGGTTTAATTCCCCAAATGCCTCAAGAGACATCTTACTCACTGAGTGCATGCTGGTATGGTTTTCTTCATGTTACATAGGTACTAGATGCTTTTATCCAAAGGAGCCTGTAATCCTTCTTGGTCAACCTAGACAAAGGGCCTAAGATGCTAAGGATAGGCCACTCAATAAAAAATAATTGTCCCAAGCCTCACATGAATTCCAAATATCCCAACAGAAATTTATGTAGGGGAACAAACTAATCTTACCCCATGCTACATATGAAATAAATTGTTTCTAACAATTTTAATGTACATGAACATTTTCAAGACTATAATTACTGTCAAAACAAGGGTTTTGTTTAGTTCCCTAAGGTGTGACAAGTCATTCAGAAAATCACTTTTTATATTAAATCTTCAATACAATATACCTGTATACTATTTTTACTTTCATAGTGCTTCTCCAATAGATTTGATCCCTAGCATAAAAAAAAAAGTCACCCAGACATTTCTTACCCTTTTTTTTTTATTTTAAGGCATTTGAGCCATGCCTCCAGCCCCCTTCTAGACATTTCTATTGTGTATCCTGAGCTGACAACCACTGCTACACACAGATGTTCAAGGCCTTTGCTACTTCATTATGTTTCCTAAAGTGACTCCCCCACGCATTTCCACATCGAAATACATTCATTCATTCAATAATGTATTACCAAATGTCTATTTTATGCCAAGTCTGTTGTAGACATGTAGATATGTGAATGAACAAAACAGACACAAATCACTGCCTTGGCGAAGCTTACATTCCAGTAGAAACACATTTAGCCAGGCACTGGATCCTTTTACACACCTTACGTTTCTTTTACAACAATGGGCAGGTACTTATGATTATTATTATCCTTATTTTATAATTAATTTTAAAAATATAACACAGAACAGTTAGGCTACATGTCCAAATTCACATACATAGGAAGCGATCCAAGTAAATCTGAATCCAGGTATTTGACACCAGAGTGTTCACACTTACAAATGTTGCTTGGCACACAGAAACCACAACAAATGCTGCTTCTACTATTCGTATCAGAAACTCCCATGGCATCTAGTCAAAAATAGGTACATGACAGATCTCTAAATAAATATGTGCTTTTTTGATTTCTCTCAAATATTCTACATTCCCTTCCTGGACACTTTTATTCATTCAGTAAACATTAGACAAGCTTCCGCTATATGTCAGGCAATTCAAAGGGGTTATTCAAACAGAAGATTCTTCTGGTTAGGGAATTTTTCTTCTCCCCTAACTCCCCTAATTTTGCCTTCCTAATGCAAAATTAGAGAGCACCCTCAACCCTTAAGCACCCTTTGCTTAATCTATAAAAATGAACTGGCTGTTAAATATGCCTCAGAACTTGAAAACTCTTCTGTTAGACAGGATTAATTACCCAAGTATAATTCATCATAACCACATCCTCAAAGTGATACAGGTATGAGGTTGGTGTAGGACTTGGCAATAAATCTCATCTTAAAATGAAGTAGTATTTCTTAACTCCGATTCTCTCAGGAATTAATGACATTTTCTCTTTAAGGTATTATTTGAATGAAAAAGTAATAAAGTAATCCTTGGAGGAGAAAACAACTAATCATGGGTTGAATAATGGGTTGAACTGGGTTCTCCCCAAATTCGTATTTTGAAGTCCCAATCCCCAGTACCTCAGACTCTAGCATTGTTTAAAAATAAGGTCTCTAAAGAGGCAGTGAAGTTAAAATGTGGTCTTTAGGATGGACCTCTGATCCAATATGACTGGCATCTTCATAAAAAGTGAAAATTTGGACAGAGACACTAGGGAGAAAACCATCTGAAGATGAAGGCAGAGATCAAAGTGATAGTTACATGACAAGGAAAGTCAAAGAGTACTAGCAAATCCTAGCAGCTAGAGGAAGGGTATGAGTTAAATTCTCCCTCACAGACCTCAGAAGGAACCAACCTTGCTAACACTTTGATCTCAGACTTGGAACCTCCAGAACTGTGAAACAAATTTCTGCTGTTTAAGCTACTCGGTGTTCGGAGCTTGATAATGGCAGCTTGAACAAGTACACATACTTGAAAACTAGACCCAAAGTCTGGATTTTGTATGACGGGGTTTGGCTAAATTCAAAATGTTGGCTTCTCTCCGCCTACTGCCCCCTGAAACTTCAGAAGACAATCATACTTAAACAGAAACACATTCTGAGGAAACCCAGTATTTAAAAACATCATTCTCATACAAATAGGGAGAATCTGACAAGTTTTATATAACTCATTAATGAAGTAATTTGTACAGAAGAAAAATGAAAATTCAAAATATCAATAAGAAATTGAGATTTCTAACTGGAAAGAAATGACTGCTAAATTAGAAGAGTGATTTACCTTCTGTGGCATTAACTTCTCTTTTCTCTATAAAAGCACGACACTTCAGCTCTGCACAGGAATAAAACTATCAGCACCTTTATCAGTTTTGGATTAATATTCAAATATACAAAGACAACAAAGTTACCACACCCCAGAGTGTCAGATGAGAGTCAATAACTAAAGAAGTCTCGGTTTTCTTGGAGCAGACTAATTCGAATATGGTCCAGTAAGGTAACACAAAAAAATGAAATAATGCCATTTTTCCTATGTCAAAATCTGGGATGATTTTGTTTTCACTGTACATGGTTCAAGTTATGACTTAGAATTTCCTATATGCATGTGTGCGTGCATATATATGGAATATTTTGGAGAATCCCTTGAAATAAATCTTTCCCTCCACAGAATGATAGTAACACTGTTCGGGCATTGGGATGCACTGGATATTCTTTTAACCACCTTCTCTAAGGTTAGAAACAGACACTGAGACAGAAATTGTCAGGGTCACTGGAGAATGCTTGTCAGGGAGCAAGTGAAGCAAGGCTGGCAGACAGAGAAGCTGAGGCAGTGATGTAGTTGTGACAGAAGCCGCAGTGGACTTCACAGAGGTGCTAGAGCTGGAATGGCCCTTCAGAATTGTCCCTATCTGACACAAAGGCACAAGACTTTGAGCCTCACATCAACCAGTCTTTGGGTATGGGCAGTCCCTGAGGAAAGGTGAGCCATGAGCAAGAGATTCTCTTATGTTGGGGCAATACTTGGAAAGGGTCTCAGTGGTAGACCATCAGCAGTAAACACTGCAGGCATCTTAAGAAAGTAAATCCCTTGGTCCTGAGAAGGCATGCAAAGAGCCAACCCAGCATACTTCTAATACTCATGACACATGTATAAAATGAATCACTGCATGATGCCCAGTTCACAGCTAGGACAACTGTCATTAGAAAGTTTAAGTCCTGCTGGGAGTGGTAGTGTACCCTATAATCCCAGCACTCAGAAGGGTGAGGCAGGAGAATTGAGAGTTCAAGGCCAGCCTGGGCTGTTACAGAGTGATGTCCTGTCTGGAAAACAAGAAAATAACAACAGAAAGTTAAAGTCACCTATGTAAGAACTAGAGCTAATTAGGGATAAGTGTAATTGGCACCCAGATATCTGGCACCAAAGGCTTCATTACTCTGTATTCACTCTGAAAGGCCAAATGATGGCAGAGGTCCACAGAAACAGGAGAGAGAAAAGGATCCAAAGATGGTACAAAGTAAGATCATGCAATGGATTGAAGTGTCCAGTGGAATGCTGTCTGCACCCACTCCAGCTGCTATAACAAAATACCAAAAATTGAGTTGCTTATAAGCAACAGAAATTTATTTCTCACAATTTTGGAGTCTGGGAAGTCCAAGATCAAGGCACCAGCAGATTCAGCATCTGGTGAGGCCCTTCTTTGTGGCTCGGAGCAAGCATGTTCTCACTGAGTCCTCATGTGGCAAAGGGGCAAACAAGCTCCCCCGCGCCTCATTTACAAGGCACTAATTCCATTCATGAGCACTACCCTCGTGAACTGATCACCTCTCAATGGCACCATCTTCTAACACCATCACTTTAGGGTTAGGGTTTTGACACAAGAACTTAGGTGTGTGTGTGAAGGGGGGACATAAACATTTGGGCCCTAGTAAAAGAACCTGGTAGAGAGGATGACAACATTTAAAGAACACAGCTAATGTTCAGCTGGAAGTTGGGTTGCTGTGATAGAAATGCCAACTTCACCTCCTCCTGCTTACATCCTCAGGGAAGTCGACTCTTTGTTTCAAAAGCAGCGAGGCTCCATGAAAGTGGAAAGTGAAGGAGGGTTGAATGTTACATGGAGGTCAGTGAGTGCAGAATTGATTGGCCAACGGAGATAGAAAGAAAATCCAAAATTGAACAAATTTAGGAAAACCATTAGCCTGGGAACAGAAATAATCTTAACAACCCTATCCCTTTGGGACTTCATAGAAATTTTAGGAGAAAGGATTTAGTTTTACAAGGCTGGTCCCATTGAAACTATCACCAAGAAAAGTTTATTTTTAGAATCCTTTCTCCCATTTCCATACCAGCACACCTTC